TAATATTTAACAATTTGTTACCCTTGTTAAACCATATATCATCAACTTTAGGGTTAATGAAAATTGCTTCATTATAACATTAAATTGCTTCTTCATATTATTTTAAATCATTTAATGCATTGCCTATAGGCTATTAATAAACAATAAATTACCCTTGTTATACCATGCATCAACAAATTTAGGGGAAATAGATATTGCTTCATTGTAACATTTGATCGCTTCATTATATTAATTCAAATTTCCTAATGCACAACCTTTATTATTAATATTTAACAATTAATTACCCTTGCCATTCCATGCACTAACATTTTTAGGGTTAATAGATATTGCTTCATTGTAACATTCTATTGCTTCTTCATATTAGTTCAATTTTCTTAATGCAAGTCCTAAATATTAAAGTTTAACAATAAATTTACCCTTGCAATACCATGCATTAAAATATTTAGGGTTAATATATATTGCTTCATTGAAACATTCAATTGCTTCTTCATATTAATTCAAATTTCCTAATGCATAACCTATATTTATATTTAACAATGAATTACCCTTTTTAAGCCATGCATCAACAAATTTAGGGGAAATAGATATTGCTTCATTATAACATTCAATTGCATCTTCATATTTATTCAAACTTGCTAATGAAAGACCTAAATATTAAAATTTAACAATTATTTACCCTTGTTATAACATCCTCTAGCAAATTTACGGTTAATAGATATTGCTTCATTGTAACATTCAATCGCTTCATTATATTAATTCAATTTTCCTAATGCACAACCTTTATTATTAATATTTAACAATGAATTACCTTTGTTATGCCATGCATCAACATTTTTAGGGTTAATAGATATTGCTTCATTGTAACATTCAATCGCTTCATTATATTTTTTCAAATTTCCTAATGCACAACCTATATTTATATTTAACAATGAATTACCTTTGTTATACCATGCATCAACATATTTAGGGTTAATATATATTGCTTCATTGAAACATTCAATTGCTTCTTCATTTTAATTCAAATTTCCTAATGCATAACCTATATATTTATATTTAACAATTATTTACCCTTGTCATACCATGCTTACTCATCTCTAGGATTAATGGATATTACTTCATTGTAACATTCAATTGCTTCTTCATTTTAATTCAAATTTCCTAATGCACAACCTTTATTATTAATATTTAACAATGAATTACCTTTGTTATGCCATGCATCAACATTTTTAGGGTTAATAGATATTGCTTCATTGTAACATTCAATTGCTTCATTATATTAATTCAAATTTCCTAATGCACAACCTATATTTATATTTAACAATTATTTACCCTTGTCATACCATGCTTACTCATCTCTAGGGTTAATGGATATTACTTCATTGTAACATGCAATTGCTTCTATATATTAGTTAAAATCATTTAGTGCATGACCTATATTTATATTTAAAAATGAATTACCCTTTTTATGCCATGCATCAACAAATTTAGGGGAAATAGATATTGCTTCATTGTAACATTCGATTGCTTCTTCATATTAGTTCAAATCATTTAATGTATAACCTATATATAAGCATTTAATGATAAATTACCCTTGTTATTCCATGCTTTAACATATTTATGGTTCATAGATAATACTTCATTGTAACATTTAATTGCTTTTTCATATTGCTTCAAATTTTCTAGCACCTTATATATTAAATAGAAATGATTGATAATGAAATACCTAAATTAAGAATTTTCAAATTACCCTTGTTATTCAGAGCCTTACAATATTAAGGGTTAATAGATATTGCTTCATTGTAACATTCAATTGCTTTTTAATTATCTAAAAAAATATAGAATCAAAATGAGTTGATAGCGCAAACCCTATATATTAATTTTGAACAATATGTTACCCTTGTTATTCCATGCATCAACCGATAAAGGGTTTTTGGCTTTTGCTTCGTTGTGTCTTTGTCTTGCTTCTTCCTTTTGGTTCTTTTCTTCTTTTCCCCTTCCTGTTTTTTGTTTTTTTTTGGTGTGTTGCCCTTGCCTTGCCTTGCGGCTTCGTTTTTGGTTTTTTTTGGGTTTGCTTCTTCTTTGCGTTTGCTTGCGTCTTGATATGGGTTTGGGTTTGGGGTTTGGGTTTGGGTTTGGGT